ACAGCCAAACTTGACAGTCTCTTCTCTGTCATTGTAGACCGCAAATACCTTATTCCTTCCGTGTACTTGGGTCCGAATGCTTTTCGTTTTCTGCCGCCCGTTCAATTGAAATCGCCGCCAATCACATTTCCTCGCTCGCGCCAGGGTTACAAGGCTCGCGTCTTGTGCTGCATTCACTTGCACTCGGACATCAGGGATTTTCTCTGATAAATGTCCGATGAGCCACAACTTTTATTTCAAAACAAAGCTGCCAACTGGGATGGCCAGACGCTGTCTCCTCTCTCACTTTAGGTAACTTCACTAAAATTCGATCCATGTTGCCGCTCGCATAAAGTTAGCTGAAGTTAACGAGCTAGATTTCACTGTTTCACTTTATTTTTTTCTCACGCTGCGCCTCCCCTGAAGCTCTCTGGCGCCCCCCAGGGGAGGCGCGCCTCACACTTTGAAAACCGCTGCTGTAGATGATATTGGTGTATCTGTGTCTGTTCTTCAGGGCGACAGAGGTTTGTTGGGGGTACCAGGACCATCAGGCCCTCCTGGGATTGGACTCTATGGACCCAAGGTCAAGGTTCAAGGTTCAAGGTTCAAGGTTCTTTATTGTCAATCTGACATAGCTACAGAGTAATTATGCAGTTGAAAATCTTATGTCACAGGCTTCTCCAACAATGCAACATAATAACATAACATAATAACAATAAGAGCAAGAGCAATACAAAAATAATAATAGTTATAAAAATGAAATAAAGTTATGATGTGGAATAGTGCAGTATGAGTCTATATACAAGTTATTGGAATGATATATATATATATATATATATATCATGTCAGTGTGTGTTTCAAAACCCTCTCTATTTCATCATGAGTTTATGAAGCCTTGTATTTTTAAAGTACCGTGATGTGTTGTATCCTCAGGGCTCTACGGGGCAGATTTGACCTTCAGGCCTGATGGGGCCTCCAGGAGAAGGCATCCAGGGGCCAAAGGTAGGACATGCATGTGATACAGAACATTTTGAGACTGTTTGAGCTCTAAAAACTGCTTTTACACGAGTCCAGAGTTCACCAAAACGTCCTCATAACGGCAGAGCCCATTGAGGGGCCGCCTGGTCGTCAGGAGGGATAATCCTTCACTCTCAAATGTAGGTTTTTGCCCATGGACAGTTTGACCTGTCGACCCTCTGATTGGTGGAAAACCATTTAATCTGCGGAGCCACAAAACATCCTGATCAAAACCCTTGACGAGCCTCGTCATTATTATCGTCCTACGACACGTTGTGATTGGCTGAGAATAAGAGCATATGAAGCACAGACCATCTATTTCTATTTATTATTTCTTTGAGAAAGGTGCAGGTCATATCAGATTACTTTCTCCTCCCTGCTCCTTTTCGGGTACGGTGTGTTTATAGAGACAAGTTCTGTAGATAATTGTTATCCATTAAGTTCTGCATACCATGAAGGAACAAATACAAATGAAATCAAATGATGTTGGTCTGCACGGATCGGTTCGATACCTATCCTTGATGACCAACATAATACAGTTATCAATAATAATAATTATACTCTCTGATCCATTAAACTGTCCATTCTATAGATGACCACTGTCTCCTTTTATATCTCTAGCCTTTGCTTTTCCCTCAAACGATGTTTACATTGTGGATTGTTTATTTCTCTTTTAATGTCTCTAATGTAACGCCTTGTCTGTTTATGCGGCTGCAACGCAAACATTTCCCACATTGGGATCAATAAAGTATTTCTTATCTTGTTTCTTATCTTACCTCAAACCCCTCCGTAGTGTCCTCTCCATGGACAGGACTTCAGGATGTCCCTGCATGCCGATGATACCCTCGTGTTGTTTACCAATTGACCTTTTCTTATTCGTAGGGAGAGCCTGGCTTCAAGGGGCCGATGGGTCCTCGGGGGCTTCCAGGGGATGGAGTACCAGGGGAGAAGGTACTCACATTTACACAGAACTACACTTTGCCTCTTGGTACTGAACTGGAGAAGAGGTTTAGTTTCTCTGCTCCTGAGGCTTTGAAGCAGCTGCAAAGAGAGATGAGACTCAGAGAGCTGAGACTCAGAGAGCTGAGACTCAGAGAGCTGAGACTCAGAGAGATGCTTTCTTTAAAGGTCACCTATTCTTCATGTCTCTTCTTCATCAACATGTGTCCCCTCTTCTTCATGTCTCTTCTTCATCAACATGTGTCCCCTCTTCTTCATGTCCCCTCTTCTTCATGTCTCTTCTACATCAACATGTGTCCCCTCTTCTTCATGTCTCTTCTACATCAACATGTGTCCCCTCTTCTTCATGTCTCTTCTTCATCAACATGTGTCCCCTCTTCTTCATGTCTCTTCTACATCAACATGTGTCCCCTCTTCTTCATGTCTCTTCTTCATCAACATGTGTCCCCTCTTCTTCATGTCTCTTCTACATCAACATGTGTCCCCTCTTCTTCATGTCTCTTCTACATCAACATGTGTCCCCTCTTCTTCATGTCTCTTCTACATCAACATGTGTCCCCTCTTCTTCATGTCTCTTCTACATCAACATGTGTCCCCTCTTCTTCATGTCTCTTCTACATCAACATGTGTCCCCTCTGTGTAAAGAGA